AAGATGGGACTGAACACCCAAGGCCCAGGTGTGCAAGTATTTTATGACTTTTCAGTGATTGAGTTTCTTTCAAGGGTCAAAACTGACAAGTTTTATTACTTATCTTGATACTGAAAGCCTGGCCTTGGAGGGAGCAGAGATGCCTGTAGGATCCTCTGTCAGAGGGAAAGAAGTTATATCTCCAGATCACAGGCCACACTCCTCTGGATTCTAACATAGCTTGGATGGAATCACACAACTCTCTCAAGGAACTCCACTCTAATTTTAAAGTCTCATCATAGTGATACCTAAAGAAGCACAGTGGCATGGTAGATAGTGAATTGGCCTTGAAGTCAGAAAGACTTGGGTTCAAATGCTGCCTCTGATATCTCCTGTCCATGTGACACTGCCTGAAAAGCCTAATCCAATGATTTCCTATACTTCCTGTCTTAAAAGTCTCATTTAGTGATTTCTGTCAATGGAATGCTGGACTTGGAGTCAGGAAGACCTGAGTTCAAATCTCATCTCAGACACTTACTAACTGTGTCACTTTGGGCAAGTCACTTAAACCTCTGTCTGCCTCAGTTTCTCCAACTCCAGAATGGGGATAATAATAGCACCTACCTTCCAAGGTTGTTGTGAAGCTCAAATGAGATAGTAATTGTAAAACACTTGACCTTCACAGTGCCTGGCACATAGTAAATGCTATATAAATGTTAGCTATTTATTATTATTATTATTACTAATTTCAAACAAGTTACTTAACTTCACAGTGATTCCTTAATTTGTAGAGCAGATACCAAACTACTTTGGTAAAAAGAAGTTTCCTATGCCAATGAAATCATAGGTAGGTTCTGACTGCCAGACACCCTCCAAAAATGAGAGGAAGCCCCTATAGTGAACAGTAAACCTCTTGGAGGTCAAGGACCATCTTATCTCTTTGATTTTGTACTTCCAGCACTTAGCAGAGTGCTTTGACATTCTAGTGCTTTGTAGATGTTTGATGGATTAAATTGAAATGCATGTCTACATTCTCTCCTCTCTTAAAAGTTGTTGTTGTTCAGTCATTTCAGTCATGTCTGACCCTCAACCTCTTTAATAAAAAGCCTTTGAGACACCAGTCTTCAGAACTGAGTCTGGGGTCATCTTTATAACATCATCACCCTATTTGGGGTTTTCTTGGTAAAGATAACAGAGTATTTTGCCGTTTCCTTCTCCAGCTCATTTTACAGATGAGGAAACTGGGGCAAACAGGGTTAAGTGACTTGTCTTGGGTCACACAGCTAGGAAGTGTCTGAAGCCAGATTTGAATTCAGGAAGATGAGTCTTTTTTTTTCTTTTTTGGTGAGGCAGTTGGGGTTAAGTGACTTGCCCAGGGTCACATAGCTAGTAAGTGTCAAGTGTCTGAGGCCAGATTTGAACTCAGGTCCTCCTGACTCCAAGGTTGGAGTTCTATCCACTGTGCCACCTAGCTGCCCTAGATGAGTCTTTCTAACTCCAGGCCTGACACTCTATCTGCTTCACCATTTAGCTGCCACCTTAAAAGTAGGTGGTGTCTATGTTGTGATCCTTATTTTATAGAGGAAACTGATTTATGAGAAATAATTTGTCCAAGGTCACAAAGTTAGGAGGTTGTGGAAGTGGAAGTAGGACCCAGGTCTTTTAAATCCTGCAATCCCTATGACTCTGGGTCAGTGGTCTTTCCAACATACCACATTGCCTTAAAGGCCCAGGATTGTGATTTCACAGCTAAATAACAATGGCATGACTGGTGTGTTCTTGACAATGGTTCTAGCCTATCATTTATGGAGCACAGATTTTTTTTAAATCAAAGGCAGAACATGGAGATTGATGAAGGTCGCTGGTAGTAATTTTTCTTCAGCTAGGTATCATGGTAGAGCAGTGGAACTAGAATTAGGAAGACCTGAGTTCAAATTCAGACATTTACTAGCTTTGTGACACTGGTTAAGTCACTTACCCTCTGTCTGCCTCAGTTTCTTCATCTGTAAAATGGGGTAATAAGAACACCTGTCTCCCAGGGTTATTGTGATGATAAAATGAGATAATATTTATGAAGCACTTCGCAAACTTAAAGTACTATATAAATGCTACTGCTGCTACTACTACTACTACTACTTAATTAATCATCACCATTATCACTTTACTTTTATTTTGGGAATTATTGAATCCACAGGAATGGTGATTTGCTGTTGCTTAAGAGAAGGAATGGGAGTAACCTGTTTGGAGAGGTGGGGATGACGCTGAATGTTCATGTACCTGGAATATACCGTCAACATTTTGGCAAGTATTTCTGGTGCTCTTAAATTGCTGAAGAGATCTGGGAATACTAATGAATGGGTTCCTTGGTTTTAGACCTCTAGTGCTACATTACCCCACCTTATGCCTTTGATCTTGTTATTATTGTATTTTATCATCTCTCTCTGTCTCTCTCTCATATCTTGGCTATTACTATTTAAAGTTGTGATTGCCTTTTGTAGTGAGTCAACATAGCCAGGAAGGCATGGTTGGACTAGGGTCTGGCCTCTGACAAATACTGGCTGTGTGACCCGGGGGTTTCACTTAATCACTCAGTGCCCCCTGGAAACTTTCTAAGATTAGAAGTTGCAGAACAGTAGCAGATTTTCCAAGATAGAGGGAGCTTCCTGACAAAGACTTCCATATTCCCTACAAAAATGAAATTACAGGTCTGATAGAACAAAAAACTGCCGTTGATGAAAAGTGGGCAACATTGTATATATTGTTAAACCCTAGTTCTTCTGAAGGCTTTAGAAGACAGAATGGTAGGCCTGCAAGGAACTTTAGAGGTCAACTAGTTTGACCCTTTGACAATGGGTGAATCCCCTCTACAAGAGCCCAAATGAATGATCATTTACTTGAATTCTTTCATGGATGTGGAACTTACTACCTTATCAGGTACCTCAGTGAATCACTAAGCAGTTCTAATTGTTAGGTAGTTTTTCCATATGTTAAACCAAAATCTATATCCATCAGCTTCTACCCACTCATCCTAATTCTTTCCTTTGGGTCAACAAGATTAAATGTAATCCCTATTTGACACGATAGCCTTTCAGATGTTAGGAGACAGCTATTATATACCTTTTGATTCTTCAGGCTAAATATCCAGTTCCTTCCAACAATACTCATGTGTTAGAGCTTCAAGCTTTCTCATTAGCCTGGTCGTTTTTTAATAGATCTGTTTCTTGTTAATAATCCTTTAAGATCTGGTGCCTAGAACTGAACACAGTTCTCCATGCTTGGTCTGACAAAAGCAGAGGACAGTGGGATTTTGACCTCCCTTTCTCTGGGCACTTGTTCTGTTCAGACAGTGCATGGTTTCATTAGCTCTTTTTTTGTTTTGTTTTGTTTTGTTTAGTGCTCTGAAACTTAGAGAAGTGTTTGGAATCATGGAGAAGTTAAGACACTTTCTCATGGTCATGTAGTCAGCTTGTGTCAAAGATGGGACTTAAACCAAGGTTTCCTGGATCTGGGGGCAGCTCCCCATAGCCACTATCATATATATATACACACACACATACACAAACACATATATGTGTATGTATGTGTGTGTATACACTTATGTATATATTCTTATACAATGTATATACTGTACACACATATACATGTGCATATATGTACATGTACATATATATAAATATGTGTGTGTGTGTGTGTGTGTGTGTGCATACACTTGTGCTCTAGATTTTTTTACTTCAAATCCAGTGGAGTTTTTTGAGATTATATAAATATATGCATATGTAAATATATATATTTATACAGACACAGATAACCATACTCCACTAATGTCCTAATCAAATGATTCAGTGTGGCTTGGTAACCCATGATTCTAAAAGCCAATGTTTATGTATTATGCTTCTGCCATACCAAGTTGGAAAGACTTGAGTATGGGTCTAGTCCAAACACCTAAGTAGGTAGGTTAAGAATCTTCTAATGGGAATCTTAGTCTCTAGGTGGAGTTTTGGGTTACAGAATTCAGAAAGACTATGCAGTAAAGAATGAAGTGGCTAGGTAGAGCAATGGATAGGGTGCTGGGTTTGGAGTCTGGAAGAACTGACTTCAAATCTGGCTTCAGACCTTGGGCAAGTCACTTACCCTCTGATTGCCTCAGTTTCCTTTACTATAAAATGTAGATAAAAATAACATCTGCCTCCAAGGTATCATGAGTATCAAATGAGGTAATATTTGTAAAGTGCTTAGGATAGTGCCTGGCAAATAGTAGGTGTTTAATAAATGCTAGCTATTATTATCATTTATTGTTATTATTATCTGGGTCAGTGATGGGAGCATCCATACTTATACTTTCACAGATCTATTAGAGTAAGATAATGCCTAAGTTTTGTTCAGCACATCACAATGTTGGGTGCATTACCTAGCAGCAATCCAATCAATTTTGAAATGAGGTGCTGGATTTGGAGAACTGAAGACCTGAGTTCAAATGTTGCCTCAGCTTAACTGTGTGTGACTCTAGGCAATAAGCTTAACTTCTCTCAGCCTCAGTTTCTTTATCTGTAAAATAGGGAAGATGATAGGGCTTACTTCAAAGGTTGTTGTGCATATCAAATAGGATTATATGTGTAATATTATATGTAATATTATACATAATATTATGTATATATAGTGTTTTGCAAACCTTAAAGTACTTTATAAGTGCTAGTTATTATTGTAACATATATTGAATGAGAATCTATGTGTGTAATAGAAATAATAACTAACATTTTTTCTTTTAAAAATTAAATTTATTTTACTTTTAGCTCTGAATTCTCTCGCTCCACCTCTTTCTGCCTTCATTGAAAGCAAGAAAAACAAAACTCATTTCAAACATGTATAGTTGAGTACAACAAATTCCCTAATATGGGAACATGCCTCAATCTTCCCTCTGAGCCTATCACTTCTCTGTTAGGAGGTGAGTAATATGTGTCATCATCAGTCCTTTGGAATTATGGTTGGCCATTGTGTTGTTCAGAGTTCTTAAGTTTAAAAAAAAAAAAAAGGAATGCTTCAGGAATTGGCATGTCATGCTTGTACAGGGGCCGTGCTCATCTCCTTTGTATCATTCTAGTTTTAGTATATATGTTGCAGAAATGAGCACATAACTAACATTTCTATATTCTGTTAAGATTTACAAAGCACCTTATACAAGTTACTTCATTTGATTTTTCACAATAACTGTGAAAGTGAATGAATAGAACCAGAAAAATTAATGTGTAGTCCAGGCTTTGTTGTTTTGAGCATGCCCATTGTGCCTAGCTTGAAACCCACTGTGCTCCCTGTGAGATGGGTGGGGGTAGCCACCTTTGATTGGTTGCTTACATCTTTAAAACTGGCGAGACTGAGCCAATGGCTCTCCTTCCCCCCAGTCATGTGTGGGCTGCACTCTGCTATGTTCAGCAAGTACATAATGAAGCAGAGAGAGGAAGGAAAATTCTTTCCTGCTCCTTCTTTTTTGTTTTTCACTCGTTGCATGGAGAAATGGACCTGAGGGTGTTTGTTTCTGCTGGAGAGGTGGGGTTGGTCTTGGAAATGGGACTGTGCTCTATAGGAACTGAGCTAAATTATGAACTGAATCCTTTCCCCCTCCCCTAGTGTAACATCTGGGAGGAGAATTATGTCTTCCATGTGTTGGGGCAGTAAGTTCACATATTTTTTGGTTATTTTTGGAAGTAGACACCCCTTTGTAAAAGTTCCACAGTGTTCCATGTACAACAACAGCAATATTGCAAAGACAAATAACTTTGAAAGACTTAAGAACTCTCATCAACACAATGACTAATCATGATTCCAGAAGACAAATGATGACATTTGCTTCCCATCTCTAGAGGCAATGGACTCAAAGTACAAAATGAGACACACTTCTCCACCGCCTTAGACAATGTGGGAAGTCATGCTTCTTGACTTCCTATTTGTTCCATGGATTTAATTTTTTTTTTAGGCAGCTGTGACACAGTGGATATGGTGCTGGATTTGGAGTCAGAAAGACCTGAGTTTACTGCTGTGTGATCCTGAGCAAGATGCTTGATCACTGTGTCTCATTTTCCTCTGCTGTAAGAAGGGAATAATAATAATACCTATCCCTCAAGGTCGTCATGAGTATCAAATGATATAATATTTGTAAAGTGCTCAGCTTAGTGCCTGGTACATAGTAGGTATTCTATAAATCTGAGCTTTTATTATTATTCTTTCTTTCCTTCTTTCCTTCCTTTTTCTTTCTTTTTTCTTTTTCTTTCTTTCTTTCTTTCTTTCTTTCTTTCTTTCTTTCTTTCTTTCTTTCTTTCTTTCTTTCTTTCTTTCTTTCTTTCTTTCTTTCTTTCTTTC